TGCGTGGAATGTAATCTTTAATACCTTGGTGTGTAATTAACTGCCTATTTGATTTACAGGCCAGTCTCACACTGGTAACATGTTAATACATCGCACGTGACAGGCAAAACAAGTGTAATTACAGACAAAGAGGCATTTGGAATAATTTGGGACGGCTGATATATTTTACCCATGCCATTTGTGGGCCCTGTTGTATGTCTATTAAACAGGGGTCATCGTATTATCACTGTTTATGTTGTTTATTCTCAGAATAACAACTACTTTCACGTATTCATTGAACCATTGAAAAAAAGATGTGTATTGATAAAATAAGAATCAGTTTCTGGTTTAGTTTTATTTTTGTGTGTTTGGGTGATTTATTTGCCTTGTGCTTTACACTGCTGTCGTGTTTTTGTGCTGTTTGTTGTTGTAACGTTGTTACCCGCCCCTACTGGACATCTGTGAAAAATAACTTTACAGCTCATCAGATGCCTCCAGTATAAATAGATTAGAATCAGTATATTAATTTCAACTGGATGGAATCCGATGAGCTATAAAGCTCTTTTTCACAGATGTCCAAAAGAATAAACATGGTATGCAAGTGGTACATCCCGGTACACATGACAATATTGATCCAACCTTGGCATGCGTTTGGAACCGTTGAACCAATGAGAACGCTGGCTCGGTACATCCCAGTACACATGACAATGTTGGTCCAACCTTGGCATGTGTTTGGAACCGTTGAACCAATGAGAACGCTGGCTCGGTGTCCCATATTTCCTGGGATGTTATAATGACGTAAATGTACACCGTAGGAACACGAGACATGGTGGCTTTGGAGAGGCCCTCGTCAAGCAGTGCATTGACCATGGCTAAATATGATGACGAATGATCATCATGCTGTATTGTAATATGAACATGTGCTATTCAAAGGGACCACCTACAATTATTTGACAATTTAATGAAATTTACAGATGTGGTAGACGTGAAGATAACATTGTGCACTTAAATAATTACACATTTGTGGGTGCAGTGGCGAGCACGGCAGTTATCGGACTGCACTTGGAATCTGATCACCCGAGGTCTATTTCTCAGCCAAGGCTAGCTTCAGTGGTGACCGACGTCCAAACCCGGTTCCTTGGGCGCTCCTTTCACCAACCCGCACACACCAGCATGGCGAAGCAATGTGTGCTGACTTTTTTTCTCAACGTACGTAGCCAACCGTGCTAATTCGAAGAATGATTAGACACCCCTCCCCTCCAGCCCTCTCTCATGACTGACACGAAATGCAGAGGCATTAATCCAGCAGTGCATTGACAAAGGGCTGAAATTTAATACAAATTAATACAACTCATTGCGCTATTGTGGGTTTTTATTGCACTTATAATAAGGGTCATAACACCGCCGTGTTTTATGCTGTTTAAACATAATTTTTTCTTCAAACAACATTTGTTCACGAATCAACAGAGAGCCCTTTTTTAATTTATGTTTTAGCGTATTCTGGCATACACAGCAGCGGATAGTGAAGAGTTAAAGATGACAACACAGAGCAAATATGAAGCAGCCACAACATCTATATTTGTACTCTTTGGTTCTTTCAGTAATGTAACGTAGGTATAAAATAAAATAAATAAAATCACGACGTTTCGGGCGCAATACAAGCGTCCGTCATCAGGTGGAACAACCACAGCAAGAAACAAATGCTGAAGTGGGTGGAAGGAACTCCCGTAATAACCATCGGCATCACGTGCAATACGTCTTATTCATTAGCAAACAAGAACAAATGCAGACGTAACCAACGCGCAGTGTCATAATTACATGTTCAACCATGGATATGCCAAATACCCCTGCCCAGTGAAGAGTCCCAACGCCGGAGGGAGTGGAAATGAAACATTATATTCATTTAATCTAAGGCGGGAAGTAATTGGCTCACGGAAAGGCCCCCCAAGTGTATTTGTATCTCCTAATTCCCCCCCCCCCCCCTGCCATGATTGAAGCGCCCAGATGTTTCCCGAGCCGCCGTTTAATGCATTTGTCAAAGCTAAAATATTACTTCCCCCTCCATTCTCGCCACATGGGAAGTCACTCTGTAGCATAAGACATCTGATTGAGCAACTCCTGTTAATTCAGTCCAGCGGCACTTCGGCCGTGTCGATTGCCAGACGACTGGCCAGTGTAGAGGAAGTAGGCTAGGATTTTAGAGAGGCTCTATAGAGTTGCCTTTAGTGTATGTACGTGTGCATGTTTAACTTATTTTGCACCGTATTTAGCCAAACGTGTTTATCGGAGGGCCCATCCACCAGCAGTGGCCTGACCAAGCAATCGCAGGGCTGCACCTTTTGCCTTGAACATCGTGTTATTTTTTAGTAGATATAGGGCGGGACATGGAAGAAATCGGCGTTCTTTTGATAGGTGACAAAAAACGGTTGTGTGGAAATGTGTACGTGGTTATGTAATGCATCGCAATATTTGAAACGTATACTGTTCGGAGTGTGTGGCGAATAGGCTGCCGCCTGCAATGGAATACTGCAGTAATTGCCAATGTGCAACGTGTGAAAAACACAAAGCACGTTTAAATACCGATTCAAATATCATTTTTCTTCATTATAATGACCGTTCGCTGTTTGAAATGGTCCAAGGATGCATGGCTTTTCAATGGGTCACCTACCACTGTGGCTTGCATGCATTATAATGTGCTATCTAAAGCATAGCTTAAAAAGGTAAATTTGCAGAACTGCAATTTCCCGCTCATGGCACTGCTGGTGCAGAGGCCCTCCGCCTGCATCATGTTCTGAGGCCATCCTCTGACACACCGTGGTGCACTGCTCACTATGGGAGGTACAACGACATGATATCAACAGCACGTTTGGAATCTAACTGGGGAAGGTGTGCGTATGTGTGTTGAACTTCCTTCGCCAACGTACGTAGCCAACTGCGCAAATCGGAGGTGCGGGTGGGAATCACAATAAAAGCAATCTTGATTTGAAGCTTTCGTGACTGCAGGAATCCATACTCTTTGGTTCTTTCAGTAAAGTCACGTAGGTAGAAAATTAATAGATCACGACGTTTCGGGCACAACACAAGCATCCATCATCAGGTGGGAAAGCAGTCTGCCTCAGCAGCAGACCATGCTTTCCCACCTGATGATGGACGCTTGTGTTGTGCCTGAAACGTCGTGATTTATTTTATTTTATACCTACGTGACTTTACCGAAAGAACCAAAGAGTAATAAAAGCAAGTTAAGTTGATTTCTTCCTAAAATTAACATTGCGGAGATGCCCCCCCCCCCCCATCCCGTTTACAGCCCTGAACCAGTGGTGGAAATTCCACTTTCCCATGACGGGGATGAGTCTCCCCATAGGACAGCCAACTATTGCCTTTCCCTCAAAATAGTGCACATTTTATTCACCGAAACTCTGACCAGGAATTGGACTCTCGCAACATTACATTTGCGAGATGCCCATTCTACCGCTCAGCCCGCTGGTTGGTTGTCTATTTTTATTATTGCAAGGTATTTAAATGTTTTTAAAGTATTAAACAGCTACCAGAAAGCAGTAGCTGTTGAAATGTGTAGTGGTGTATATTGAGCCACTACGGCGTTTAGTGCCAGCTACTGAGAAAAGTGTGGAACTGTGCGTTGTTGAGTCTCTCTGGCACCAGAGTATGTAGGACATGGAAGGGGTCCCTAGGGGGCATGGTTCTCCTAATGGTCAGAGGGAGGGCAAGTGAGGACGTGACAGTCTGGGTGAACCCGGGAGGGCACGTGACTAGGTGAGGGTAGCGAGGGGGGGCCAAGGGGTGGCGAGAGGGACATGTGACATGTGGTCCAGAACCTTCTCTAAGGATCCAGAAGGGGGCGTGGCCGAGGGCTGAGCCAGGCCACGCTGAGAGGCATAAAAGGGAGGTCCCGAGAGCCGATCCGGGCTGTCTTCAGGAATCAGCCCGCGGTGCTCCGTCTACTCGCTCTTAGGTCGTCACGTCTGGCATCGTGAGTTAGGCAGTACGTTACTGACCTGACTCAGATGAGTAGTTATCCCGTTGGAGTCTGAGTTTAACCGTGGTAGTTACCACCTATGTCGTTATCCCATATGTGTTATGTAGTACCCTGTTGGGGTGTAGTAATAAACGTGTTGCCTACAAGTTCAAGTGTGTGCCTCCGTGGAAACCACTACACATGCATTCGTAGCATATATGTTATGGGAATTGCAAACTGGACATGTACTTCAACATTAATCTTAATTTTTCATAGACCAAACTATGATTGATGTCACCGCATGTCTTGAAAAAAAACCTAATATTGGCTGACTTTCCACCCTTTCGCTGGTTATTCACATTCTAGGGCTCTTGCAAAAAAAAACTGCCATTCCATAATGTCAGCCCTTATTTATGCAGCATCGTTTTGCTGTCAAGTGCAGGGAAAAATTAAACCAGTATAAAATGTCGGATCAATGTTATCAGCAGTGTGTGGTATTTATGTGCATGCGTAGATTTTGAAGCCCGCCAGTCCTGCATTTGAATCCCATTCCATCAGCGTGGCAGGCACATCGGTCAAGGACCTTATATCTGCTCTATTGATGAATGCCAAGTCGAAGTCTCGTCTGAAAGGAGCCTCACAGTAATTTATCCCCGGAATTGTTAAAAGTGTAGGGTTTTATTGTTTTTAACGACTGCTCAATGCAAAACTTACAAGAAATAAGGCGACAACCTTTATGCACAATAGAAAGAGAATAAAAACTGTCGGCGAGATGAGAAAAAAACGAAAGTTAAATATATTTTAATTCGGACAACTATTTATCGGGGCGGTGTTGGGGGGGGGGCAGTGGGGGGGGGGGGGGTACGTCAAATGCCGATGCTTGACGCGCGGTGACGAGTGCAACGGAAATAAATGCGTGCAATTATCGGAAGCCGTCTGGCGTTTGGCGTCTAGGCATTCCTCCTGTCCTGCTTCGGCAAGTTGTCCGGTCCCCACGCTCACGCCCCCCCCCCCCCCCGCAACCTCCCCTGCCCCGCTCTGCCATCAGTGTCCTCGGGGCCTGCGGCCCATGAAGGATGGGTCTGGCTGCTACGACTACAGGCTTGGCGTCGACTGCTCGGACGGGATGAATGGGGGCTGCGAGCAGCTCTGCCTGCAGCAGACGGTGCCGCTGCCCGACGAGACGTCCTCGTTCAACATCCTCATGTTCTGCAGGTGCCCCGGCTTGGCGTGAACACACGGGCGCACACGGTGGGCGGCACGAGGCGTTGTAAGCAAGCAAAGCAAACAGGGGCGGAAGGACGCCAGGGTGGCTCAAGGGGCCCCCGAATGAATGGGGACGAAAAAAAATCTATACAATAGGGGTGCACCAAATGCCAGCTTGAATGAAGGCCCTAAGAAACCCAAAGATGAGGATCACTGTTCCGTAGATTGTGTACAGCTCTCCTCTCACTACATATGAACCTCATGGCGGCACCCCGGGGTACCATAGCACCCCGGCTCTCGCACAATGTCCGTGACGCAGTGATTTTTAGTCTGTTGATGGTCGGCGTTGGGGCAATCGACTCGTCTCGACGAGCTGTACACGATGCACCATTCAAAGTTGCATTTTTCGATAACGGATTTTTTTTTTTATGCTGTTTGGCGTTTCGACATCGCGGAGTAGCACTGATTTCGGATTGATTGGTACCCCAGTCGCGGAGTGAAGTGCACCCCTGGAAAAAATAGTGTCCCTGAAATAAATATTTAATTGCCTCGGCCATTTTGTATTATTTGGTACCCCAGGGTGCCGCCATAAGGATCATATATTCCTCTACACCTCTGATTGCATCACATTTCCATCGAATCTGTGTCTTTCTTCTCTCATCTCACTACATCTCTGACTTTTCTGCCTTGAGCTCTTCTGTCAAAAGTCAATGAGTTTATACGTTGAAAGAGAGGGGCCCACCTCTAAATAGTTTCTGCTTAGGGCCCTCAATATCGGCCAGGACGGCCACTGCACGCTCACTAAGGTGTGCAACCTCTTCATCGTCACCACCACCATCATCTTCATCATTATTTATCACTACCCTCCTCGAACAAAGACAGTCGCTGCATCGCACGCTTTCAGATGCGCTTCTGTGGCCGTCTGGGATGCTCTTCCTTCCGATATTAGGAAGCCACCGGAGCTATGCACTTTCAAATCCAGATTGAAAACTCATTGAATTGGAACTGATTTTTGTGTTTAGTTTGTTGTCCTTCCCTCGCACCTCCGATTAGCACGGTTGGTTACGTACGGTGTGAAAGAAGTTCAACATGTACATACATCACCCCATTTTCATTACAATGCCACTTTGGAACATCATGATGATGAAAATGATGATGAATTACTACGATAATATTGTAAATGCCACTTTCCAATAGTGGTCATGCATAGAGCGTCAGACGTGTGTGCGGGTTGTAGCCGCGTGCTGTTTGCTAGGATGTCAAGACGTTTCGCTCCATATGCCGGTGGCTTCTTGAGGTAATCGGAGCAAAACGTCGGACATCGTGCCGAGCAAAACACGCGGCGCATCCCGAGAATGAGTCAGAGAGAGCCGTGGATCCCACGAACAAACCTTGCGTAGCGTTTGCACAACATGCCAATCTCGGCCCACTTTTTAATGAATAAATAATGGACACCGCCCAACGCTCACATTCTGCATCTCGCATTAACGCTGCAAATCGACCCGTGGGGTTAACCAACCTTGCCAATGCTGCAACAGTCATTCTGGCCGTTTTGTTTTACTTTCCGTGTTTTTTTTGTAAGTATGTAATTTTTTTTTGCACTCAACAAGAGACCATTACAAAGCACAAGCGATAGGGAAAAGTGACACAGTTTTTTTTGTTTTTTTTCCCCCCCCCCACGGACATCAAGCTCGAGGCCAGGTGTCCACCGGGGTAAGGGAAGTTGGAGGGGTAGCGATCGGGAATGTGGTATTTTTTGGGGAGTGGGGATAAAATGTGAATTAATGTTTTTTTTTTTTAAACTTCGAGCAAGTCGACAGCTCGAAAGAGTGCGCGAAACCGCTCTCCACGACCAAGGTTAAGTCGGCTGCACCCTGCGGTGTGCTGATTACGGCCCTTTCGTGACGCCATTCCAGGAAGCGTCGGCCTCAATTAGCTCCCAATTACATGCCACTCCCGTCTACTAATGGGCCCCAGCCGGAGTAATGGCACCTTGCCTGCCCAGACAGGCGAGGTGCCCTGCTTGGCCGTCCGTTGATTGAAGTTTAAAATTCTTCCCCACCGCGCTTTGAGGGCCCACCAATTACGGACGGCAAATAGTTTTTTTTTCAGGGAATTAAGTTGCGGAGACTTAATACCGTTTATTAGGCCGTCCGCATGCGATTTCGTTTTAACGAACTGTTTTAAGCACCACCGAGGCTATTTTTTTGTTATCCTCTCAATTATGAGCGTGCTTACTCCAGGTAAAAGTGAGGTACTTTGCGTACTTGAGAAATGGCTGCACGGGAAAATTGGATGAATATGCAAACGTTGTATTTACGTAGGCTAATTAAGTGCGTGTAACATCGACGCGATAATGTGCCTCCCTCTTGTTAAGAATGTGTGGCGGAAGCTACGCAAGGATTTTGGTACTCGGGGCCTCCATTAATTTTTTTTTACGCGGTGCTCCGCGTGAGTTTGTGTGCACGCGCGCATGTGCACACGCCCTGCACGTTTATATTTTCCACTATGTTTGCCGAGCACGGGTTGTCCAATTTGCCCAGAGCGCCCAACTGCCAGCAACAAACTAGCATTGTTTAAGTCGTAATCGATGGGCTCATACGTTTCCTGAATTCGAGCGAGGTTGTACAAACTCTTGGGGAAGAGCGACAATGGCAGGGAATTCCGATTGCAGCAGTACCAGGGGCGGGAATCGATGAGTAATTTTCATGGAAAGAGTAACCATGACAATACCGGTTTCTGTTAGGCTGGCTTGGAGAAGGTTATGTCGGTATAAGGCACCACCACTACATTACAATATACTCCTCTGTAATCGTATATTATTGGACATGTGCGCCAAAATAATTGGATACGTGGTGTGCCAAGCTGTGGTAGTAGCAGTAGAAGAGTGACAAGGCAATGAACTGACCACGAATGAGCGTGTGTGGATGCTTTTGGAGACCAATTGTGCATCCCCCAAATCCGTTGGATATTGAGCTTTGCACCGTCTGTCTGATTTGTAAACAGGACAATGCTATTATTTCTGTGTTTAGCATCAAAGTTATCATGCGGTACTCCATCCCTCTCGGTGATGAATGGGCTTACATGACAAAGCAGCTCCACACAAAACGGGTAATACATCAAAACCCCGTTCCCACCTCCAGCCTTCTGCGTTCGTTGCAGCATGCGTTGATTTAGCATTATTTTTTTGTTCACGCGATAACCTGCTTTTGTTTCCGGCCTGTGCCAAAATGTTGGTCTTCTTTTTTGGGGTTTTGTTTTGACAAGTTTACAGCTCTCCTCCCATTGCAAGAAAATCTCCCGTGGAATTAAATAACAACGACAACAACACTCACCAAAGTGAACAGCGGGACGGTTAAGCGCCCAGCCAGGCCACTGGAAGTTGTTAAATCTTTCCTGTAGGAATATCAGTAGGGGAGTGTTCATTAGGTAATGAATGTGTGGGCATGTTTATAGTTCTTTTTACAGGCGTTTTCTCGTGACACGGCTCACTCCCACCAGGCGTTCCCACCGGGAGCTTGCGCGGTGTCTGCGCGCCTGCTACGAAATTGCCGATCGCCAACGGGTTTCCGCGGGTCTCATCGCGAGCTGCCCGGTGTGGCGTCCGGCGTCCCGACGGTTCCCCCGCGGAACTCGGTTCAGTTCACGGAGAAAAACTCTCGGAACGGACGGCGAAAACGGTGGACGCCGTGGCCGAGCAGCACCCCGCCTGGGGCCGTAGAGGCACCGCCGTGAAAGCCCCAAGCTGCAGAAAACCAAGACGCAACCTCTCCCACTTTATGTTGATCTTCTTGCTCGCCCTTGGGCAGGTGAAAATAGCAGAGCTTTAGTTACACGTTAAAATGTGCCTGAAAAAAAATAAATGTGTATTTTATGTTTTATCGCTTGCAATGAACGATACAATTTGGGGTTAACAATTGAGCTATACTGTTTGTTTGCGTTAGTGTTTTGCGCTCGTAAGCCCCAAGCTAATAAACCACCTGCTGTAAAAACGATAGTTCTCAAAGCAAGCTGAGCTTGCCTTTATAATTGTATTGCATAAAATCTCACTGAGTGCCTTCCCGCTGATGAGCCCCAGAAGAGCGAAACCGGCCGAGATGTCGTTTGTTTCATAAGTCTGGGAGGCCAGTCGACCGATATACTAAAATGTTTACTTTTATGAAGCAAAACGCAATTGAACCAATGGGAAAGTTTCGTAAATATCTCCCCCGATGTCCACCCAGCTGGAGTTGTAAATGAATGAGTGCACCGCAGGTAGGCAGGTGGCTGTTAAAGTGATGGGTACTCGCGCCTCTGGCAAGACGCCTGTTCAGCGTAGAAGAGTAGGCCAAGAATACCCTCTAAGAGTGGCTCTCGAGCTCCCTCGAGTGGAGGCCTTGCGACAGCAGTGGCACGAGCAAGCGATTGTAAGGGAAGGGCGTTTGGCTAGAGTTAGAGACTGGTGCAGCTCTCACGAGTTGTTGGTGAAGGATGCGCCGAGGACAGGTTCACACATCACTCACCTTTAAACGATAAACTATTTTTAGTTTTACCTACTGAGCTGTATAGCGACCTAGCTATCACAATTGATAACTCAGCGAAGCAGCTTATCATGTGTAAATTTATTGTAGCCAAATACTCTAAGCGCATGTTTCTAAATGTGGAGGGGAAAAACCGGATTACTCGGAAAAATCCACGCGACAACGGGGAGATCATGCAAACTCTAGGGTTGGGATCGAACCCAGAGCCACTTGCATACCAGGTGAGGGAGTTAACACCTCTCCACCGTGACATCCACCATCGATATTTTCCATGTCCAGGGATGAAACTCAGGTTGTCGGATTCACAGTGCTGACCGCTGTACAACCAATCCATGCAATGGTATTAAGTCGGCCAAGCCTCCTTCCGTCAGCGGTGGCATGAGTAAGTAATTGCAGGGCTGCACCTTTACCGGATTTTTTTTAAATACAGGGCAGTCGTTATTTCTTTTATTTCCAATCAAATGATCTGTGCGACTAATGAAACGTTTG